CCATTTTGCAAATTCTGCCCGAAAATCCTCCCAAAGCCCTTCATCTCGGTGATCTAGCTTTTTAAAGTACGCAATTTGATCTTCTATGTAGCTATCATAGTCTTCACTTGGGACGTCTGGGGTGTCTTCGTTGATAAATCGCGCCGTCATTTTTGCCGGTTGGATTTAGAAGTGCAATCTTGAAATAATTAAAAATGCGTGATGGAACGCGGAGCCAATTGTTCTTCTAACTAAAAAAAGTCTTCCTGAATGAATCCAAGATATACTTATAGCTGTAAAGGCGGTACTATTGAGTCCTTCAGTTAGCACAGTGAAAGCCTATGAATAGGGCCACTGTCTCTTCGTCACCTTGCTGTCTGCGGTCGATACTGAACGAAAATAAAATCGAAATTGATCCACCACTGATCAGTGTTGGTACAACGGGGTTCACTTGGTTTAATGCATTAAAAGTGCTAAAAACAAGTGATATATTCTGTCTATCTCTCTTCTGTATCCCTCCTCAAGCATTAATATCTAAAGTACAAAATGAAGCTTAGCGCCCTGATTATATCACGTGATGAGCTGACCAATACTTTTGGAAGTAAATGTTTAATACAAGCCCTTTATCCATACGCCATTCACCTGTGAACCGACACAAAGCGTGGCGCACAAATCTGGGAGACTGTTCTTTGGGATGCACGTGAGATGGATCAGTACAAGCTAACAAGATGATGCGAGGGATGGATACAGTCTCGGCTGACGTGTTATTTTGAATTTTGGGAAGAAGTTTCACGAATTGAGCTTTGTGCGTGCCAAGGCTTCGGTTGCAAGAGTGCAGGCGACACTGTAAACACCGCCACGGTTGGATGGTGCGGTGGTACATTGTCTTGGCCGGTCTTCCAAGTGGAGTCTCGATAGCCAAGACACATATACCACTCGAGACAGTAGATCGCTGATTCAAATCCGGCAAAACACAACCACCTTTCTCGCGGCGCTGGTATGCATGGATGACGAAGGCATGCTTGGATAACCAAAGGGTTTTTAATTTCCTTTTGGTGGGTACTTACGGAGGAGAGTCGACTGTTTGTGTACGCGAAAATACCTCATAGTGGTATTTGCGAATGAAATACAGAGTATGAGTGTCTCTAACGTCAAAATAGTCATTCTACATGTATACATAGCACTATGAATGTGTCATAGCTTTATAGCTGAATAAACATTAAATGATTTAAAATAAATTCATTTTTTAAAAATACATTGTCTATGTGTTTTCGAGGCACAGTCCATCCCTGTCTAGGATCCAATGGGATTCTTCACATGTGTTGACACTACTGTTGAAGCTTTGTCATTTAGTGAAAGAAATGAGAGTGGGGTTTATGGGTCACGATGTATGAGATAGCTGGGGCGTGGATGTATGAGTTCCTTACTATTGTTGTTGTACTAGTTAGGGTGGTGTTTTTCTCTGTATACAAAAAGGGATTTCCCCATCAACAAGTGAGCCAGATCGCTCAGATCTGGCTAGCGGCTTTCGCCATCCTGTTCCTCCTCCCCCGTATGGCATCTCGTGCTATACAACTACTGCTCAGCATGAAGTCTGAGGATGAAAGGCGTTAGATTGCAACACCTACTTGTTGTATCACCTCAATGTGTTGTAGCTATATGGTCAAATACAGCGGCCATGCCAAACTAGGTGCCAATGCCTTGATATTCTGTCAAGTGGCATCATTTATCCGCGCATTGATGTTGGTCAATATACGCCACAGGGGCTAATCGACTTACCGGTTGTTACACCTTGGAACTCTTTTTTAATTAATTTTATTGTCCTTTTCGAGTCTGTGACTTTGTAGGAAATGCAGGTCCTCTCTGCCCACAGGCCAAGGATACCTATGCCAGCAGTATATCCCCTCCTATGCCTCCCATACAGCTCCCCTCAAACAGTGCCACCCCTCACAAGTCCTCATTCGATCATACACTTAGAGGAGCCCTTTGCCCTTCATTATCTTCCCTCTCCAAATAACGAGATGATGGCCACTTGCGGGTGTATGGCAGCCGGGAAAAATCGCAAAAACAACTGGATGCGGGGCTCTTCTAATACCGACATTAGGATTAAATCCGAAGACATAGTGATCCTTCCGAAGCGTTCGAACAGGCCGGCCAGCTAGGCGCTGCAGACTTGTGGGTACCTCGGAGAAGTCACACTCTGCCTTTCTAGCCTCCTTCCAACTCCTTCCCGCAGGTCGTGCTGAAATGTCAGAAATTCTTGACAGAGCGTAATTGCTGTATATATATATATGGATCATTTTACCTGATTTGGCGCCTTGTGGCCCATGCAGGTTTTTATCGGAAGATATGTACTTTAAATAGGATGACTCAATTTGACGATTAGAGCACTCATACTCAGATTTCATTTGCAGATACCACTCGAGGTTAATCCTTACGGCGTATAACCTCTTCCGTGCATACCCACCACAGGGAAAAGCGTGAAAAACCTGTGGCTATCCGAGTGTGCTTTCATCATCCCACAAGTACGATATCACCGCGAGAGAGAGTGGGGTGTTGGTCTGACTGGAATAGAACCAGCTTTCTCCTGTCTCGAATAGGGTAGGTGTTCAAGCTACCCAGTATCTACTTGGGAGAACGGCCCGGATTGTGTACCACTGCACCATCCAGTCTCGTAATTGCTGTATAGTAGCTTAGCCTAACTTCTTTTGTACCGTCCAGGGTGCTGGGGAGTGCCATTGACTCATCGACAAAAGAAGCTGACCTGGCTAATTAGCAGAAATCTCGGCCTTGGCGCCCACTAAAAATCCAAACTTGAAAACCCCCTTAAAAATATCAGTTCCAGCATAGTCTTCAGATACCTGTTCCCCACCCTTATTCCACATCTGTGCCGCCCGTCCTTCCTCAAAATGTTTAACCCCATTAGAACATCAGTCCCCCATGAGCCAAGACCCCAACTTTGTATGTTATGACTTAATTTCCTCCTTGGGGGTATACGTAGCGTCGTAAATTTGTAGTGAGTGATGGCCGGTAATCAATGAGGCAAGCTCCTGTTTGCAATTGGGGTGACGCCTTTATCGGTCGTTGAGGCGAGATGATATGTGGTTAGTGTTGGAAATCGAGACACAGAGTGATGTGGACGTACGGGCTCTCCATTTCATCAAGGTTCCCGACACGATCTTGTGTGTATTTAAGAGGTTGGAATTGGTAATGTGGTAGCGCTTCAGGCTACCAATTGGATATGAGCGGCTGTATGGCGTGGGCACAAGGGGGTTATTAGGGGTTCTCTATGCCTAGATGGCGCCACACTCGTTTTTGCTGTGGCTTAGGCTACGTGTCGCTTACACTTGGACTTTTTTTTTTAAAAATCATTTATTGTGTATTCAGCTATAAAGCTATGACACATTCATAGTGCTATGTATACATGTAGAATGACTATTTTAACGTTAGAGACACTCATACTCTGTATTTCATTCGCAAATACCACTATGAGGTATTTTCGCGTACACAAACAGTCGACTCTCCTCCGTAAGTACCCACCAAAAGGAAATTAAAAACCCTTTGGTTATCCAAGCATGCCTTCGTCATCCATGCATACCAGCGCCGCGAGAAAGGTGGTTGTGTTTTGCCGGATTTGAAGCAGCGATCTACTGTCTCGAGTGGGATATGTGTCTTGGCTATCCAGACTCCACTTGGAAGACCGGCCAAGACAATGTACCACCGCACCATCCAACCGTGGCGGTGTTTACAGTGTCGCCTGCACTCTTGCAACCGAAGCCTTGGCACGCACAAAGCTCAATTCGTGAAACTTCTTCCCAAAATTCAAAATAACACGTCAGCCGAGACTGTATCCATCCCTCGCATCATCTTGTTAGCTTGTACTGATCCATCTCACGTCCATCCCAAAGAACAGTCTCCCAGATTTGTGCGCCACGCTTTGTGTCCTCTGTCGGGTATAATTATCGGCGTGGGCGTGTATTTGGTGGATAACTGAGGCCAGAGAAAGTCGACGAGAGGTGTGGTCATTGGAATAAGGATGTACTAGGTCGTACTTGTAGACTTGATGAGGCTTAGGTAGGAATAGGACTATCTGGGAGTGAAGATTTGAGGTGGTGGAGTAGTTTGAATCATTGCCTCGTGGGCCAACTTGTTCGGTATTGCGAAATTTGACTGAACTTGGCTCTGGGAGAATATTTCACCCCCAGGTTCGTAGAGGACACCGCGTACAGGTGTTCCGTCCTGTCCTCCATGCGTCCAGAACTTGCCGCGCGTCACGGGTCGAGGCTTGGCAATGGTGGTCCTAACGAATTTTCGCCCAGACTGATTTGCATTCCGGTATTTTCGAAAGGTGGCAGGTTTCGAGGAGGTGACAATTTAAAATTACGTACATAAGATACTGATCGGGCAAATTTGAATACACCATTTATTCTAGTTTAGCTGTTGGTGAGCGAAAGTTGTTGACGAAAAGAGGTAATCCGAATGTTTGACAGGCCTATGCCCTGAAAGCAGGAGGTCGCTAATTCGAATAAGGCAGAACTAAATCTAGTTTCTATCGGTGCCAGTATGCGTGGTTGACGAAGGCATGCTTGGATAACCGAAGACTGTGAAACATACACTTGCTGTGTACTCGCGAAGCAGTGTCGACTGTTTTGCGTAAGCATCTATACCTCATAGCGGTATCCTGTATGAAAACTAGAGTTTACGTGTCTTTGAAGTTAAAAGAGCTATCCCATATGTGTACAAAACATGGGTAATGTGTCAAAGCTCATTAGCTGCGTAATTTTTTATTTTAAAAAGAGATACATGATTTTTGTTATGTAATGTCAGTTACAATCGAGATTCGGGTCCATAATCTAGCTTTGATCAGAAAGATGAAAGGCATCTGGAATTTGTGTCTGGACTTTGACTACGGTCATGTGATCCAGGGCGCGGCCTATGATTTAATTTATCTAATTTCGTAAATTGTCGGTGTAAGATTGTTAAGATCATTAATTGGACCCTTTTCACTCTTTTTAGTAGCAATGGGTCTTGCGGCGCCCAAAAAGTAAGAGCGTAAGCCTACACTTAAGTTACGAATATTTGCTAATTGACCAAAAGAAAATTAAAGCTATCTCATGATCCCAACAATACAAGGTGGATCAACAATACTGATTCATTTGGCCACAAAATTTTGACCTCACAGGGCTGGAAACAAGGAGAATACCTTGGCGCAAGAAATGCACCTCACGCTGAATTTCATTCGGCTGCAAACTCTTCGCACATTCGGGTAACAATCAAAGACGATAACCTCGGCCTAGGAGCTAAGGTTGGCACTGGCGTTGGGCATGGAGAGTGTACGGGTCTTGATGCTTTCAAGAATTTACTAAGTCGGCTTAATGGAAAAGATAAAGATGAAATTGATAATGAGCAGCGGTCACGGGATAATATCCGGAAAGCAATCTACATGGAAAAGAAATGGGGTTCACTGAGGTTTGTCAGTGCCGGATTCTTAGTTGGTGATAAGATTGAGGACTCGATCAACACAGAATCGAAACCGAGTCTTCAACCGTCCGAACGAGATAAGAAAGAGAGTCTAAGAACAGAAGAAAATGGATCTGGTCTAGATGAGAATATGACCCAAATAGATCTTTCACGCAAAAGGGAAAAAAAAACGAAAAGAAACAACACCCAAGATATCCGAGTCAACGATCCTATGACAGAGGTCAAGAATTCGAGGAAAAAAAGGAAACTACTCGAAGTAAGCAGAGACAGCACAACAATCGATACACAACAAGATAGCCAGATCCCTCAGAACTTTGATATTAATCTTGAAAACGATGAGTTAAGTGTTAAAAAAAAGGCCCTTAAAAAGGCTAAGAAAGCTGAGGAAAAAAGCCGAAAAAAGGTTGAGAAAAAAAATCGTAAAGAATTAAGAAATTCAAACAAATTTAATCCCGGAAAAAGTAATTGTACCTATCCAGAGCTATCAGTACCCTCTTCAATGCGTGGAAGACATGCCATTAGATCTAAAAATATCGCACAAAAGCGGATGGCAAGCATAGATGTAGCTTCTCTTAACCAGGTCTGTAAGTCCGAGTTATTCACCGTGCAAATGTCTAACTACTCTAGATCTTTATGATTAAACCATAATTATATTACGGCCATAATTAGTTCAAAATTCAAGTCTAAGATAACTTAGTAATACTGCACAGGAGTTATTGCGTTTAACCTTCATGATTTCTTTCATAATCCGATGTCACTCTCACAGACATATCTGAGATGATTCTATTATACAAATCCCCGTCACTGGATAGGCATCAGACGGATGACATAGCATGATTTGTATTCAACCAGATCATCTTGATTGATAGATTTTCGGAAACAGATATTGTTTCAAATAATGCAGACCAGATCTAAGGATTTACGTGCAGCTCACAAATTCCTCGCTCCAACTAATTCACGATGAACAACCAACTTATCTACTATTGCCTTTCCCTTGTGAGATAGGACAGTCTTTAATTATCCAAATGCGTGAATGTCAAGTTAAGAGCTACCAAGCTCGGCCAGTTCAGGCACGTAATTTAATTCAGGCACGTAATTTAATTCAGGCATGGGAAATTTACTTTATGTAACCAAATTATCATCAATCTCTTTAAGCCTATAGATAGACCTCACTCTAAATTTTTCACGATACTAATAGATGTAACTTCGATCAAGATCAAGCATTAATTTTCTATCAGCCTATGAGAAAGGAAAACTCAACAGAAATTTAGAAGTCACTATAAGTAGAGTGTTACAAATCGAACGAGAAATTTCTTAGATTCTGGAAGGTAAATGCGGCTAACCTCAAAGCTTGCGGATTGAGAAGAGCTATGGATAAATGAGACCCTTTGTATACTTCCATGTGCCTCCGTTGTTTGATATTTTTAGTCACCTCTCATTTGTAGTAGATTTGGCGTTATGAATTGGGGGGAGGCAGTAGAGTTAGGGTCCGGCACGGTGTAAGGTTACTAGGCTGAATCGTCAGCCTCGTATACTTTTCTTATAGTGTACCATAGTTGTAGACAGAATAAAACAACAACATCATCTTGACCCAATTTACTTTTGTTATCTGATCAGATACTGAGGCACAGCCTATCCAACAGCCTCCACTTAAGAAATATTCCTCATCTCCTATTACTTACATCTCAAGTCTTTCTCATAGGAAAGCCCACTTATTATTCCATTAAGAAATTCCAAGTAATATCCTTTGAGAAACTCTTGAAAAAAGTCATACGATCAGCTATAGAGACATATTTTTCACTGACTTTGGAGCTGTTTCGCAATAAAATTATACTGAATATCCAACTAAACGATTTGGGGGCTCGGCACGTGTGAAAATTCAAGAGACAAAAGTTAATTTGCGAGTGGTGAAAAGTTAACACGGACTCAAACCATATGGTTCTACACTAAAGAGAAAATTTTCTAGAAAGATATGAATCTGCATATTTGTAAGTGAGAATTCATCAACTGTTCAAATAAATTTGCCGACATCAAACCTCATGTCCCTGGGTTCGTACGGCCCAAGGGTTTCGAATGAGCACCAAATCTTTCACAAACTTTTCATATCGTATCTTGTCACAAACAAGACTTTTGTCTACTAGAAACTAGTCGTTGAGATCCTTGGGGTGACACTGTGTCGGCTTACCGAAGATTGGACCGATATTCACGCTGCCATTAAAAATTTCGGGGAATCACAGCATGTTTCAGGGAATACATCTACATCAACATCATCACCTGCCAAATACTAGTCTTAGCGTAAAGCATTTGTGATGGTGGGCCAAGTATTGGGTTATTTACCACATAGGTTGAGTCCAAGGTTTGTCTCATGTAACGTTGAGCTGTCGTTTAAGTTGGGTGGAAGCTCCAGGTCAGTTTTACCTAGAGTTTAACTGGTCGCTTCACTGCTAATAGGATTGAGTATTCAAAGTTCTTGTAACATAGTTACCTGTTGGAGACTACCTACTTATTCGAGCTACCCGCATATCATAACTCCTACCCAGTGATATTATCTAAGACGTCTCCCTTACAGTATGGGCGATTTGTGACAGTTTCTTTAACTATCATCGTAGTCATGAGTTGACTTTTGAGAAAATATCTACAGTGTAAGCATAGCTTGAGAAGAAACAGCCCATGAATGGTCAGAACAGCCCCTACGCTGCCCTATTTCCACTAATTGCGTCCGGTCTCGTAGTCATTTTGCCTCGAAATAGGGTTAGACTACCACCCATTAAGGCAATACTATCGTTGTCTACTTTTCCTATCACTAAACCTTGAAATGGAATTTTACATCATCTGTGTCATGGCGGGACATTCTGGAACCAGAGTCTAAGCAGAATGCCTGAGGATAAAATCCACGGAACAGGTTTTTCGGCTCACCCTCAACACTTGCACTTATATGGTGAGACTAGATAATGCGCCAACAGGAATTGATATGGTTGAGGTCACAGTTTGAGTCATGATGGGAAATTACAACAGTCTTAGTTGAATTATGTTAGATAAGTATTTGTACTTAAAGAAGCTGCAGCTACAACAAAGTAGTTCTCCAGCTTCACAATCTTATAAAATTATTACAGTATTCCTCTCGCAAACCCGCTTCCTTCTAGCCATAGTACTTCGTCGACTTCCCACCTCTCTAGTATTCACCACTTGACCTTTTCATACTCTCGGCGAACGGCGATCTCGATCTACCCTACAGCACGCCGTAACAATCTGTCTCTAATGTCAATTTATAGATTTTATCCAACAATAATAGGGGGACTTGTCAGTGAAAAGGCCATAGGATAGATTGACGAGGTCTAATCTAGTGATTGATATTGTCTACAAAGAGGAAAGGTGACTCCTTCTGAGTCTTATAGATATATTTATTTATTTTTAAAGGTCTACCGGGCTCCAGCTACGGCTAAGGCCCCATCACTTGGGGGACATGGTGGCAACATCTTATAGATATATGTACATCGTGAATCGCGCATCAGACGCGTGATAGCACGTGCCCATACGGTACCGCAGTCCACCCCATCCCTTGACAGGACCGTTCTCAACAACCATTAGTGGTGTCCCCTACAAAACTCCAGCTCCCACTGTAGAGTCTGCAGAGCCGAGATTGAGTAACATCTTCCTCACTTCGAAGAGGATTCCGACTCGCTTTCGCGGTCTGTATCGTCTTCATCTCTCAACACATTCCCCTATCACCACCATCATGAAGCTAACCACGATCAGATCAGATGGTAGGGTCGGAGCCCTACTCATCATCAACCCTTGATCATGGAGGAATAGCCATCCGATAGGTTTCCGGAGCGTACCCAGCACCCGATACGGAGATGGTGGATTGAATCAAGTCGGCCTCAACTGTTACAAAGAAGGGAGATATAGATGAATATGCGCACCTCATGTGGTCCCGGTATCTAAGCCTGGCCTGGCTGGGCCTGCAGGTTTTTGTTGAGACCTTTTCCCGTGCACGCAGTTTCCATTGCTGCAATTTTTCATTCTTTTTTCTAGGTAGAAGGTTCCGTGGAAAAGGTGGCCAAATTTCACGAGTAAACATTGTGCTGAATAGTTATTCATCACGGGCAATGTATCAATGATCTTTCGAGAAACATGAGTCGCAAGGAGTACTGTACAGGTTGTGGCCTAGGTCAGAGGAGCCCAATGTTCTAGATAGTCATAGACTCAGGTAATACAATAAAGACATCGCATCATGCAAAAAGTTTATCATGGCGTCAAATAGTCTGTTGATAAAATTTCCGAACTCTTGACTTATAGATTTCCCTTACCTTAGCTAGGTGATAATCAGATACTCGCTGAATAAGAGACTCAGACCAGGTCGTAGGCACCACGTGATGGTAGATATCAGTAGCCTAAGCGAGCGTGGCAAAGCTGTGGGCTTTTCATTGAGTAAAGACTCTCCAATATTATATGACGTAATTACTGTGCTGTAATCGATCTACTGCACTAATGGTTAACAATTCTGTAGGTTTTTAGACAGATATCCTAATTCGCATCTCACAATATAAGGCCCACTACCCCTTCTTCTGAACAAATCCGATCTGTACCCTTGTTATTACTCCATATTTGCGTAGAAACGATGCCCCCGGTCCTGCTCGGGTTTTTTTGAAATTACATTGGAGCTCGGATACATTTTGTCCCCAATTGAGTAATGTAAACAGAGATAAATACCGTCGGAATACTCGGGTGGTATTTATATCACACGCTCTCTATAGCAGTAATAACAATTGGTAGTTAACATGTTTCTTGATTCCTATCTTTCTAACTAAAGGAAACACGTATATACAGCAGTTATCCCTCCCTCCAACAGGGCTTGTCCCTCACTGTCCATGAGAGCAAAGTGTAAAGTGTAAAGTTAAACAATTGAAACTTAAAACCTGTAGCTAGTATCTTATTTGTAGATTCTAGGAGTCCTCCATAGTCATTGACTCAGTTAGGACTGTAATACAAATCTAATCTAACCTATCCATCCCGCCGGCAAAGACGAATTCTTTACTTTCCAGTGGTGCCGGTGTAATCGCTCAGTATGCTCTACATATCTGGGATAGCCAAGAAGAATCGCAACCGAATCGAAGTCGAAAGCAAACACACCTATATCTCCATTTGACAACTTCTCAATCATGCAGCACCCACTATTATCTTCTAAGTACTCCACCTCTTTCTAACCATATATTATCTCGCCTCGACAACCGATAAAGGCGTCACCCCAATTGCAAACAGGAGCTTGCCTCATTCATCACTGGCCATCACTCACTACAAATTTACGACGCTACGTATACCCACAAGGAGGAAATTAAGTCATAATATACAAAGCCTGGCTCATGGCTTATGGGGGACTGTTGCTCTAATGGGACAAACAACTTGAGGAAGAACATGCGGTTGAGATGTGGAGCGAGAGGGGGAACAGGTCTCTGAAGAGCATACTGGGACTAATATTTTCGAGGAGTTTTCAACTTTGGATTTTTAGTGGGCGCCAAGACCGAGATTCCGGCTAATTGGCCAGGAGGACTTCTTTTGTCAAGTCAACGGCACCCCCAGCGCCCTGGACGGTACAAAAGAAGTTGGGCTAGGCTACCATACAGCAATCAAGCTCTGTCAAGACTTTTCTGACATTTCAGCACGACCTTCGGGAAGGAGTTGGAAGGAGGCTAGAAAGGCAGAGTGTAAATTCTACGAGGTACCCACAAGTCTGCAGCGCCCAGCTGGCCGGCCTGTTCGAACGCTTCGGAAGGATCACTATGTCTTCGGATTTAATCCTAATTTCGGTATTAGAGGAGCCCCGCATCCAGTTGTTTTTGCGATTTTTCCCGGCTGCCATACACCCGCAAATGGCCATCGTTTTGTTGGCTGGAGAGGGAAGATAATGAAAGGCAAAGGGCTCCTCTAAGCGTATGATTGAGTGAGGACTTGTGAGGTGTGGTACTGTTTGAGGGGAGTTGTATGGGAGGCATAGGAGGGGATATACTACTGGTATAGGTATCCTTGGCCTGTAGGCTGAGAGGACCTGCTTGTCCTATATAGTCATAGACTCAGACAGTACAATAAAATGAATTAATAATCTATCCCTCCCTCCTAACGCCATTCCTAAACAGGTAATTAATTACTAATCAATGTAATTAATTATGATCTCTAAGATAATACATGATCGGTCCAGTGAGGGCTAAATATATGTGTGGCAGGGGTCGGATGGCGCAGTGGTACACCATTCGGACCATTTTCCCAGATATCTCGCGGTGATTTTGTGTCTGTGGGGTGATGAAGGCACACTCGGATAACCATAGGTCTCTCACGCTTTTCCCTGTGATGGGTATGCACGGAAGAATATAATGTAATAGAATAGAATATTATTTATGTCCCTACTGAGTCTATGACTATGAAGGACAGCTAAAACCATATAAAAAGCTTTAAAGTTAATAGTAAATTTGTATATTGTTGTGCTTAGTTTTTGCCAATAGATGATGAGGGTCATGCCCTATATGCACGGAAGAGGTTATACGCCGTAAGGGTTAACCTCGAGTGGTATCTGCAAATGAAATCTGAGTGTGAGTGTTCTAATCGTCAAACTGAGTCATTCTACTTTAAGTACATATCTTTCGATAAAAACCTGCATGAACCTCAAGGCGCTAAAGTCATTGACTCAGTTAGGACTATAATATAAATCTAATCTAATCTAATCTAATCTCAAGGCGCTAAATCAGGACAATTTAATGATTTAATTATTTTTCTATCCCTCCGTCAGAACGCTATTCCTAAACAGGCAACTAACTAGTCAACATTTCTAAGACAATACATGAAAGGTCATGAAGTCATTAGATCATTCGAAAAATGTGTTTATTATATATGTGCTGATTCAACTGATATCTATCATTATTACCATATTAGAAGATCTTTCCGAAGGAAGAGGAAGTATTGGAGGCTAATCTACATCTCTATTCATCTAGGTCAAGCGGTTCCAAACAAAGCAGTTTCTCCGGCAATTATTATGCGGTATTTCAAATATTCTTTCTCCCCTCGTCTCATCGTCCAACGAGTTATTAGTGAGTAAGGTTTTAATAACTAAATTTTTCCACCTTAAAAATCATCATCGCAAACTATTGCGGAACAAGAGCCTTCCAACCCCCAACGCTCATCTCGTCATCATTTCCTAAGATATCTACTACTACCTTCTTTTCAGGTACGTGATGATGGGATTTGATTCTTTCGATTTTATTACTATTAACAGGAGTTACAGGAGTATTTCTTACTGAAATTTGCGGTAGAAATCTCTCTCGGTCTTCACGGAGCAGATCTCCACTTGCTACTTTATCGCTTGAGCTCAAATTTTTATTTGCGCCGCAGGATAAAGATTTTGAAAAATCTGTCGATGCCGATTTTATTGGAGCTGAATTAGCTTGCTTTTGTTGACTTGTCAGATGAATAGGTTTTCGTGCAATTGGTGGAGGAGTTCTGTATTTTTGCGCAGAGTCATGTTCGGTAGTTGAGTTTGAGACAAGATAATCTGAAGATGAGTGTTGTATCAAGGGCTTGGGTCTCATTTCAAGTTTTGCTGATTCCTTAGGTAAGTTTGGCGATAAGATTTGTCTGTGAGATGATTGGGGCGAAAGACATTTTTTTGTCTGAAGCAGATTGCAGGTTTGATCATCAGGGGTTAAGGGTAGGGTTGTGGTTCGGTAAAGCGGTGACACAGGAATAGAGTCCAAAGCATGAATATTTGCAGCTCCCGAAATAGATACCCAGTCCTGCTCATCTGTATAACTATACGGGTTCGATGGTCTATTGGGGTTTGGGGCCATTCCGACACTAGGAGGTGCAATTTGTGAGCGAATAGGTTGATTCATATCCAACCACCATTTTCTTACGTCTGAGCTAGCAGGCGGTAACTTGATTCCAGGAGAACCATCTTCATTGAGGGGTCTATTATCATCTTCATTTCCTTGGATATTAACCAAAGTCATACCTGCTTGCGTCCTTTGTTTCTCGTATATATCACGGCTGAGAGCCTCCCGACGGGCTTCGTCAACAATATTAACTGTGCAAAGGAATGTTGCATATACTGGACGATGATCTGAGAATCGAAGGGGCGATGTATTATAATTTACCTGTCGAATATTTAAACCCTTTCTGAGTATTCGATCTGTCCAGGCAGGAATGCGAGCTTTTTCGCTGCAAATAACTTAGATGATAATACGGAGAGATCTTGAAACTACTAGACTCACGAGGTATCATACACATCCTGACCAAGGTCAAACTTGTAAGTAGGCATAAAAGTTATCCTAGATTCAGAATAGAAGGGGAAAGTAAGTCCAGCAATCATCTGTACGTTTAACTAGAAACCTCAGCGTTAATGATTTATAATTTATACTGTAGTTTCCTTACTTGATCTTTTTCATAGAGGGCATCAAGGTCCCCAGCCTTTATCAATTGCCTTACTTTTTCAAGCCCGAGCTCGATTCGATAGTTAAAGTCGCCCATCCATACAATAGTATCTACGTCATTTTAAGCGTGTAATTCTTAGTATTAGTTTATATCTTACCATGATCATCGATGCTTCTATTTCTTAGGAATCTTAACCCATAATTGATGGTATTGAAGTCGTTATTTCTGTCACTGTAGTTTTCTAAGCCAGCAGCAAAATGGGCCGTGACAAAACATAGTGATGTGTTTGCATAGTCCATCCGAATTGCTACCGCCCCTTTATTTCCTGCCATACCTGACATTCCAGTCTTTTTCACACTTCCTTCAACGTTTCGAATATTTTCAAGGACGGACTTTTTGACAAATATCATGAGCGCTGCACCAACAAGCTGGCCGCTACGAAGGAGCAAATAAAGATCATCCCCATTTCTTTGTGCTTGTTCATTTAATGTTTTTTGTACAGCTCTCTCCCATGCTTCTTTTCGAGTTGGGTCACTATTCATAATCTGCTGAGGACTGAGTTCGACCATTTCTTGAAAGCCTGCAGCTACGATATCGGGTGTTTGTTGAGCAGGATCTAAACCTGGACAGAGCCATGAGGAAAGATCTTCATCACTGCCCGAAGATTTACCATTCAAGTTGAAGGTTCCGCACCATATTTTTACAGTATCTATTTTTTGATACGATGATTTTTTATTGGCTAGTTCAGTAATGACAGATTCATTAATGGGATCAAAGAGATGAACCACCTTTTGCCCTACCAGTCGTCCTAGTAATTCATCTATGGTATTTTGTCGGCTTTTGTCGGTAAAATTATTGATATACAATCGTGTAGCACTCTTTCTTGCATCTGCAATTGCACCAGCAAAAGACATCTTACCGTGCCTGGTAAATGAGGACTTAAGGGCACCTGTTCCAGCATAAATACACGACAATGCATCACCATTATCAGCCCAAAGGCCAGAATGAAGCATCCAAAATTTTGCGCAGGCTTGATCGATTTGACATGAGAGAAAGTTTTCGATTGCCATTTGGGATATAATTGTCTGTATTAAATTGGTCCTATCCAGACAATCAAGACAATTGGTTCTAAAAACCCCTCGCTGTTGCGACTTGATGACAATGCTGCTATCGGGATTAACTTGCATTTCATCATTTAGATAAGGAGCATTCTCGGAATGGAAATATTCAAAAATTCTTGCGGATGTCTCTATAAGCTTTCTGATTAAGCTCGCAGCTTGATATCCACTAGGTCCTTTCGTCTCGGCATGAAAGTCATACTCAGTTACTTTCAGACCTTGATGATCTTGCGTGCTTTTTTTTATCTGTCGCTTACTTTGTGCTCTGCATACAGCTTTCCGATAAGAAGATGTTAGGTCAACTTCACCTACTTTTGTCTCACTCAACAAATTAATGATATGAATTGAGCCATATATATGCTCTAGTTCACTAAAATGTTTCTCAAAAGCTGGCTGACTTCCTTCAGGCGATCGTATAATTGTTATTTTTTGCTGCCCCGGTATAATACCGGCAGCCTGCTCCCAAAATATTGGTACTGATCCTCTGATTTGTACATACGAAAAACAGACCCCTTTTGGATTTCTGTTGACTGAGTTATCTTGATTTCCCATGGACGACAAAGTCCAATAAATAGTTTCTGATTCAACAAAATTTGCAACGTATCCATCATCATCAATACCTCTACTGTTAAACCTTGTTCCAGCTCTTCTGCATGATAGTCGAGATATGAGTGTCAAAGACGAGGGTTTTCCCGTATGAATTTTTCGCAGAGGTGCCGAGATAGACGGAATAGTTATAGTAAGGGCAAATCCCCTAATTGCAGAAATTAAGATCCGGGAGCGATCTAATGCTTTTTTTTCCTCTGTCAGAAGCCTTGATCGGAATTTTATGAGGGGGCTGATCATGTAAGAGTTCCAGAGAAAGGATTCATCCATGTTATCCACGTCAAATAATTTTCCACCAGCATTTCTAAAACAAAATTAGGCCACGTCAAGTCCAAGCTCTTAAACCCTCACCTATTCTGAAGGCGATTTGTAATGTCAAAGTCTGTACTGTAGTAGAAACTTCCGTTGCTCAGGAGTTTTTGAAGATCAGTGCATGGATGTTCTGATGGTTGCTCGCGTCCGACAAGTACTCCAGCAGGGCCATCGTCTGACGCATGAGGATTTGAACTTTCGCTCGTTGGAAGGTCAAAATTACTATTGTTTAAACAGTAAAAATTGACACCAGAAATTTTCTCCACTGTTTCTCCAGGCCGTACAGTAGCCACCTTGGAAGCGCTTGACACTACACACAGAAATATGTCATTTTTTATGGTTATTAACCCTAAGGTTCCATGTATAGAAAGGTGGCTAAGTGGTTGGTAACCACTCAGGCCAATGGAGTTAATGGTTGTAAGCTCAACAGCACAATGCGGATAGGTAGTGCCGCTAGGTGAGTTTAACACTCTATTTTGCAGTGAGTTTGACGATCCCTTTTCCGACGTCTTGGTGTTCGAGTGAGTATAGCTAAAAATTAAGGCGTGATTTGGAGTGACGATAGCTATCGATCGGTGAGGACATCCACGTAGTAAAACGTGGATTGACATTGTTGGTAATCTAGATTCAACAAATATTTGTTGATAATCATTTTCAAAGTCATTGACACGCTACACGGACGATAACAGAGAGTTGTTCGTTCAATGCCATTAGTATCTGACTGCTGACACAACCACTTAAGGACTAGCTCTCTTAGTCACAGACCAGCCAATCACGCTAGCAGGAATAGACTCTTCCAAAGGTAGGGTTTATCATAGGTTGATAACATACCCACTTGATCTGTAATGCGGTCTCTATATTAAATTCGTTTCTCAATGTAGATTTTTCAGGTCTTCGTTGCCTACAGGCAATAGATATCTATCTAGTTGTATATCCCCTCTTATGCCTTCCATACTGCTTTATGATGGCGATATATCCTTGAACGAGGTCCATGGAGAAGGTTCTTTATGGAACTCAACAGATAGAGTCAGAGGGGCTTGAGTCGTGATCACCACTTGTTACAGCCACAATTGAGATTTATTACTGTCTTTAGTTATACCTCAGGAAGCTGAAGCTGCCACAAAGTAGCACTGTAGCTTCTCAATCTCTTCATTCTCATTATATTCTTCATACGTCATATGGAATATTAATTTATCAGACACACCGCAAGCTTTGAATCTCGACTTCTTGACTCGTTTCTTCCGACTGTCATTTGTCTCTCTTGTCTTTTACCAACTGGCACATCGCCATTCTAATTGTTATTAAGTGTCCCTCGTTCGTATTCAAAATCATAATTGTCACTACAGTAGCTTGGGCAGACAGCCATCCTCAGTATCATGAGCACAGTCATAACAGCTCCCCCCAAACAACACCACCCTTCACAAGTCCTTATTCAGTCATACGCTTAGAGGAGTCCTCTATTATTCATAATCTCCCCCTCTATCTAACGAAAGGATGGCAACTTACGGGTGTATCGCAGCGGGAAAAAAATTGCAAAAATCCAGGTAGTGCGCGGCTCTCTTAATATCAACATTAGGACTAAATCCGAAGACATAGTGATACTTCTGAAGCGATCAAAGAGGCCAGCCAGCTGGGCACTGTAGACTTGTGAGTACCTCGGGGAAATTCACACTCTGTCTTTCAAGCCTCATTACAACTCTTTCCCGAAGTTCGTGATGAAATGTTCCCACAATTTATAAGGTGCAATATCATGCCGTCCGACTAGATTCCTTATTTTCAGGTAACTGGGAGCCTGACCTTTGACAGGCGAAGTGTATGTAATTAAAGTAAAAGATAGGAGGGCAAGACTGAACACCTGTACGCGGTGTCCTCTACGAACCTTGGAGTGAAATATTCTCCCAGAGCCAAGTTCAGTCAAATTTCGCAATACCGCAAAAGTTGGCCCACGAGGCAATGATTCAAAATACTCCACCATATCAATCTTTCACTCACAACGAAATCGATTCCTACCTAAGCCTCATCAAGTTTACAAGTACGACCTAGTACATCCTCATTCCAATGACCACACCTCTTGTCGACTTTCTCTGGCCTTAGCTGGTCGCTAAACACACGACCACGCAGATATAAACACCCGACGGAGGAAGCAACGCAAGGCGCACATATCTGGAAGACAATTCCTTGGGATGGATGTGAGAGGGATCAGGACAAGTTGATAAGATGATGCAGAGGATTGGATAAAGTCTCGACGAGCGTGAAAATTTGGGTTTAGGAAAGGAGTTTTTTACAATTTGAGCTCTGTGCGTGCCAAGTCTTCGTCTGCAAGAGTGCAGGCGACACTGTAAACACCGCCATGGTTGGATGGTGCGGTGGTACATCGTCTTGACCGGTCTTCCAAGTGGAGTCTGGATAGCCAAGACACATATACCACTCGAGACAGTAGATCGCTGATTCAAATCCGGCAAAACACAACCACTTTTCTCGCGGCGCTGGTATGCATGGATGACGAAGGCATCCTTGGATAACCAAAGGTTTTTAATTTCCTTTTGGTGGGTACTAACGTAGGAGGGTCGACTGTTTGTGTACGCGAAAGTACCTCATAGTGGTATTTGCGAATGAAATACAGAGTATGAGTGTCTCTAACGTTAAAATAGTCGTTCTACATGTATACATAGCACCGGTCATGTGTTCAAGCTAGACAGCTGAATACACATTAAATGATTCAAAAAAAAAGGTAAAAGATAACTCAGTAAAACTAACTTAATATTCCCATTTCTCCCAAAATTCTAGGACTATATACACTGAACATGATTGGCTTGATCTCTTGATCTCTAAATATAGACATGCTCTAGGAGTAGGATAACCTGCGATATTAACTAAAGAATGCAAGCACTGGCCCAAGCAAACAACCTACATACGTATGGAAAGCCCCTAGGAGGGCAAGACTAAACACCTGTATGCGGTGTCCTCTACGAACCTGGAAGTGAAATATTCTCCCAGAGCCAAGTTCAGTCAAATTTCGCAATATCTAAGAAGTTGGCCCACGAGGCAAAATTTCAAATTACTCCATGTCATTTTTTCGTTCCCAACGAGTTTGACTCTTACCTTAGCCTCATCAAGTCTACAAGTACGCCCAAGTACATCCTGATCTCAATGACCACACCACTCTTTGACCTTCTCTAGCCTCAGCCGGTCACCAAATATACGCCAACGCCGATATTTATACCCGACGGAGGAAGCAAAGCGTGGAGCATAAATCTAGGAGATAGCTCTTTGGGATGGACGTGAGAGGGATCAGGACAAGCTGACAAAATGATGCAAAGGAAGGAGATAACCTCGAAGGGCATGAAATTCTGAATTTTGGCAAGGAGTTTTACGAATTGGACTTTGTGCGCGCCAAGACGTCGCTTGCGAGAGTGCAGCTCACACTATAAAAAGAAGCAAACGATGGAAGGTGTTGTGGACTGTTATGCTCAGCTATGTAGTATGGTAGATCTAGTAGCTGGTGCATAGGTAGTTATTATGGCAGCATGGCATCATGGCACATGAAGGAGATCCAGTCTCTACATAACGACATTACAAGTAGGAATGTGTGCAGTATGAGAGATGGGTTGTTGATATAGGATAAATGGCATGGCTGCTCAGTTGGTTGCACACTTTGGTGAGCTGCATACTGGTAACGTGATTGGTCTACAGGGAAACAAGCTAGGGGATAAGGGACGAGCTTCCCCCAATCTTTAACATAATAATTATCATAGTCACTTCACTTCTGCACATTAATGAAGATATCTCTCCACATACTATCTTAGCTGTTCCAGCGCAAGTGTACATTCCCAAATCATATACCAATCATAATATGGACCGCTTCCTGGTGGTGTTCACTAGTACAGTCTGAGTAGCCTGGGCACCTACTTCACTTGGGAAGGAGACACCTAAGACCACATTTCGCGCGGAGAAAAGTTGAAAGATGATGGAGGCATGTCTGGATAACTCAGAGTTTTTGAGACGTTCCCCTGGGTGGGTGTTCACGGATGAGGGTTGACTTGGGGTGAAGAAAAAGCCACCATAACTTCGCAGTGGTACTTGTAGATGAAATCCGAGGCATGTGTGCTCTTCCTTTACGTTGAATCATCTATTCTGTACTTTTCTTTGATATTGTGTCATAGCCAGATTGCTGCATACGCAATTCACATCTGATGCTAAAAAAAAAGAGGCCTAGACACAATTGTCATAGCTAAATAGCTAAATAACTGAATACAACATGAATTGAAAAAAAAGAGGTCTAGGCACTAGGACAACACGAGGTTCGCATATTCATCTATATCCCCCTTATCTGTAACATTCGATACCATATTGATCCAATCCGCCATCTCCGTATAGGGTGCTACGTACGCTCCTGAAACTTATTGGACGAATTCTCCTCCAAAATCTAGGGTTGGTGACGAGAGGGGCTTCGACTCTGAAATTAAATCTGATCGCGGTTAGATTCATGATGATGACAAAAAGGGGATGTGCTGAGGGATAAATACAATACAGGCCGCGAAAGCGATTGGGAACCTTCATCGAAGTGAACACTTTGTTTCTCAATCTCGGCTCTGCAGACTCTGCAGTGAGAGCTGGAGGTTCGTAGGGGGCACCACCGGCAGGTGTTGAGAACAGTCCCCCTATAGTTGGATTATTGAAGGGTACAAACTTCTACTTTGACAGTTCTCTTTGTATTATTTTAATTGCGTATGCAGCTATCGAGCTACGACAACAAATCAGAGTAAAAGCATTCATCACTTCGCGGTGTCACTTGAAAATTAAATACGAGGCGTGAGTGCTCTACCTTACAATTGCGTTATTCATTTTGTACTATTCCTCTGATATTGTCATAGCTAGACAGCTGGATACGCAATGCAAATCTAATGCAAAAAAAGCCTCTTTCCAATTATTGACTAGTGCACCCCATGCATGAAATTCACATGCAATACAAAGCACTCGAGCAAAATGCTTTGGCATCCTCAATGTCACACCGACATAAATATTTACAGCTGACTAAGATTTGAAAGGGGCAAAAATACATGAACTGGGCCGTATGATATATACATCGGAAAAAATTAATACTTAGAAGCTTAAGATATGGTGACTGTCATGAATTACTGATATTACTAAGCTGTGCAATATGCATAGTAAAATCTCACCCATACTCTCCCTATTATGCAGAATTATTATTTTTTTACGGTTCAAATTGCAACTTCTCCTGGAAGCCTGCCGAGTGCTGTGTTGTACTCAATTATCAATTTGGTGTAATATTTTGTGAAATTTATCTCAAAAGCACCATACATGTTCGCCCAAGTTTGATGAATGAACAAATTTCTTCATTTACCAGCACTGAATCTGTATGATTATGGAACATTTGTTATCGTGACCTTTCGTTTGTACAAAAAATCTTAAATTGGTTTATTGTCTTCGCGTCCTAGTCTTCTTTGCAGTAGTGGCCGCATCCTCTTCTTCTTCATCTTGGCCCTTCTTGAGATCTTCGTCAAGACCCCATTCTTCATTATCATACCAATCTTCACCATCAGACATATCTCTGTTGATGCCGACGTGTCTATCTGCCTTAGCCCACTTAATAATTAATTTTCGATAGCGATCTGCTTTGAGTAACCCGTCGTATATTTTTTTAACACCACGACAAACCTCTTCCTGCTTTTGAATGTAAAGTTGTAGAACTCTTCGGGTCTCTGAAGCTTCATTATGGGGTATTCCAACATCTCGATCCGGTCGAGAAGATTGAGTAGCTAGGAAGTAAGGATGAACAAACGATTCGTCATTAATTTCATATGGTTCTTTTGTATTTTTGTCTGTTGTAGTCTCAGTGTCAGCTTGTGTCTGAGCTCGTGTGCGCATACGGTGTGTAATCGGCATATATTCCTGGTCTTCAGTAATACTACTGTCTTCTACAGCACCCAAAGAGTGTGTTAGTTCCGGTTGTTTGCTTATCAAAAGAATTTTCTGATCGTGGTTTTCGTGATTCGAATGTGACTCATTTGCGACATATACCTCTCTTTTTTTTAAGGTTTCTTCCTCTGATAAAGTGGTATTATTATTTCTATTTCCGCTCCCATTCTGTTGCTCTTTTGCAATCAGTTGTTTGACGGCAGCGATTATAGAGTCCGGAGAGTGTTTCTCGGCTCCAATTAGTGCTCGGCCTGAAGGTGCTTGATACTTTTTCTCAGTTAAATTGGCGTTCTTGGATAGGTTTCCATGATTATTGCTTTGATTATCAAGGAAAAGTGCCCAGTCATTTTCTCCTTCAACATTTTGACACGGTATCCAGTTATTATCACCACTCATCTTGGTCATTAAATGTTTGAGCTTCCATAGAAAAGACATTTCTTTTTGTATCATATCTCTAGCCTGTTGAGTGAGATGGGTAAGGTTTTGAGATGTGAATGGTTTTGATAACGTGGGATGGTCTGGCAATTCAGAGACAGCTGTCAGCGGTGCAAGAAGCCCTGAATAAAAATTTAGTAAGTGAGGTTTAGTAACATTAGTTTCTACATACGCTCCAGTTTGACTTGTGTAAATGGATTAAGGTGAGCTGTAGCATCTACAGCTGATCGGGCTCTTTCGTCATCGTCATCACTGTCAACTTCATAGCCATCTTCATCAATCAACGGCGGGTTTCGATATAGAATTTCTCGGTGATAACCAGCATGTTCGATCGTCTGATCTTGGGTCAGCGATTTGGCACAAAGCTGTTATGGGCAGTACTAGAGACTCTTCTGTAAACTTGAGGCCCGGACGGAGGCACTAGCTGACCCTCATAAACGAATCTTGCTCTTTTCCTTAGCTTATTGCCTCTGTTAGTACATTTATCGATTGAAGTATCAGAGTCAGAATCTGCCAGTTCCGTAAGTATTGGCATTTATTGAGAGTAATATGAAATTAATGAAAGTGTGTTACCGTATGCCTTCCGCTTAATGGCTTTCTTCATGCAAGCTATGGTATCTGCAAAAACTGCTTGCTGAGTTGTCATGACGGATACTTCGGGATGACTCTAGAAGCCCATTGAAGTTCAATCGAAGTGATGCCTAATTGTGTCCCATGTACACTACAAGCCGGACAGGATGTTCCAAGTATTGAATAAGCTGGCTGTATTTTCAAAAGATTCCAGAATTGAACTATGAGACACCTAGATTTAGGATTACTTGCATTTCGAAAGATAAATATTTCCGGTAATCTTCCCTTAGTATCCAAATGTTTAGACTCATTATCTCTCCTACCTAGGATGACAAGGCTGTGGGAGAAGCGATAACGAAGGGACTAATAATCTAATCTAGGGTCGTTGGCAGGGCTGGAAATAGGTCCGACCAACGATATATTAGAGCCTTGCGTGTTGCCCCAGGGCTGTATACACTCGCTATGAAGCAAACGCCATTTCCTGGTATAAGACTTCATGCTCGCCAAACCGAGATAGATTTGGCGAAGATTGCAACTGAATAGATTATTCCTAAGGATTGGATTAAGACATGATAAGCTGATCAACTCTAATGTCCGGAAAAAACATCACGTGATGGACGATTTTGAATCAGCATTTGTCGTGCACAATACACCACTGCTCATAATATCAGGAATATCCTCGGGAGATAAAGGGGACTTGAATCCAGACCGTGTAAATTCTCCAGTATCAGATGCACTTCATGTTGACCCTGAGGTAGTATCTGCATTAACTAAGTGTCTTCGAAATGTCGATGCTACTGAACTAGCTTGGAACTCCCAAGAGTTCGCAGGGAAGAATAAATTCCGATTCAAAATCGTCGGAGAAGTATAAATTGTTTTCCCACAGGAAACACTATATTTACTGACTTCTCACAGGAGTATACGTTACCTAACCTTACAACGACACGAAAAGGGTCTACAAAAGTGCTGAATCAAAAATACAATCAAAATATACACTCTATTTTATCTCCTCTTTGTCCCGACTCCGAATTATTTCCTGATGGCCTAATAAATTCAAAATGGATTGAAAAGCATCAAGATTCCGTACCAAGTGTCCTCGTACGATTCTATGCTTTCTCAAATGATCCGAATCTATCGACAGTACACGACAATCAACTTAAGACGGATATAATTAATTTAAAAAAAAATATAAGTCAATCTGGATATAGGACCCGCTTTGTCGTTATAATTTTCTGCAACAAAAAATCTTCTTCCATTGATATTGAAAATAGGCTTTCCAAAATTCGCCGAGACACTGGATTTGACACCAAAACATCACTCTTTTATTTTTATCTATTGAATTCTTCAGCAGATCTTGAAGGATTTCTAGACACAATAATCTCTTCCATTTATTCGGTATGTATAGACTACTACCTAGAACTTAGTAAGCATGCTCGAAGAAAGAAAAATAGAAGTGCGGTCCCGCGCCAAACAGCTCCATCAACATCTGGTACTTCTCAAACTCTATCAATTCAAGGATGGAATTTCAGATACGACTTTAAGCTCGGTATTTTCGCAGAATTTCGTCAGGAGATGGAGTCTGCACAGCGACAATACGAGGGTGCTTATGAGGCTTTGCTTGGCCCTGATGTTATTGAAACAATCGCTAGCTTGAGTACAAGATGTAAAGAAGCTCGCTGCCTAGCTGATATTATATCTTTACGAATAATACGATGCCAACTCTGGAATGGCAACCACTGTGCAGCCGTGCGGCGATGGGCTATGCACAAGGAACGAATGAAAGATTATGTTGATCGAAGGGGTAAAGGCTCAAACACGTATGGATGGGAAGCTTGGGAGGCTCGCTGGTCTAAGTCTATGGCTGAGATGATAAAAAAAGTTTCGATACCTGAACTTGAAAGCTCATTGATATATTTTCCCGTCGAGAAAAATATTGCACTAAGTGAAATAATGCCGCCTTGGTTTAGGTTACATCATCCAGGATATTGGTTTCTAGCTGCATCGAAACACATCATGGCACGACGACAGCTAGCACAACAAATACCAGAAGAAGACAGGATAAAACCTGGGTCTTCTGTATCGAAGGCCACAAGAAAGGGGTATATGTATGACACATACATGTGCCCTGAACCATACGAAGAGTATCCTCCTTCAAAGATCCATGGAACTAACCATTCCTCGCTAATACTCGACTTACTAGACAAAGCGATTTATGAATTTGAAACGAGAAAACAAAGTCGATTCATACAGGAACTAAAGTTGCTCTATGCAAAGGAACTTATGTTGAGCTATGCTTGGAAAGACGCTCTTAACATTCTCAAACCACTTGGACAAACTATGTCTTACAGAAAAGAATGCTGGTGGAATGCTGCTGGGGAGGTTCTACGTGCTACAAGAAAAGCAGCCATGCAAGTTGGTGACGCGCAGTGTATCGTTGCTGTAGATTGGGAACTGATGAACAACGGTAGGCCATCCAAGAACTGACCAATCACTCTAAGTATCTAAGGACAATAGATTTCTCCTCTAACTCGGAGAAAAGCATCGACCTTACTTGCTCTTTGGAGGGTTTAAATCTAGAAAAAAAACCGATAATTGTGTTAAAAAGCGACGAGGTTCATTCTTTCTTAACTATGAGTTATACTTTTAACTGTTTAGAAAGTAATGTAGGTGAACTTTGCTCATCACAATTGAGCATCTCTTCAAACTCAATCATTTCTATGGCCCCATTAACCATAGCCGATATTAAAGTTAATTTTGAAGGTAGCCTGAAATCTATCAATATCAAGCATAAGGAAACGCTTGAAACTTCATCGAGCTCAAAATTGACTATCTCAACTCATGTTCTTCTCCGTGAGATATTGGAAGATGGTTGCCTCACCTTAATAGGAGATACAGATCTTAGACTACTCTCTGGTCAAACAAGAGTCCTCGAATTTAAGAACTATTTTCGTGAATCTGGAGAAGTTAAGGCTGTATCAGCTACAGCTTCAATGTTTATGAACCTCTTTGACCTCACCTATGTACACAACTTAGCGAATAATAATTCGATGAGCATACGACGAGAGGAGGAAACAATCAGCAGAAGGTTGATGCAACACAATTGCTCATCTGTCAAAGTCTTGCCAAAACCACCCAAGTTGAAATTGGAGCTTGGTGAAAAACTTAGTCAATACTTCATAAATGAACAGATATCTCTACCTTTGAAATTGTTTAATGACGAAGTAACTGATTCTTTCGTTTATCTTGATGCCCAATTACTCGGCGAATCACTCCCAGAGATGTCAATTAAGATAGACTTTGACCCCCATAACTTCCCTGAAAAAGAGGAAGGAGACGAAAATCTCGATTTTCCGGGAATTCGAATCGGAAAAGTACTGAAAGGAGAAGTTGCAGTTGTCAATATAATTATTCCGGCCCTACAAATTCCAGCAAAATATGAAATTTCCATAAAAGCTGCTTACTACCTAACTTCTGACAAAAAAGAGCCTGTTTACAAGACACTAGTAACTGAGTTTCAGGTAATCTGTCCATTTGAGGCAGAGTTCAATTTCACACCAGAGATATATCCCGATCCATGGCCAAGCCTATTCTCACACAACGAAGATGAACTCTCTATCGAAAATAAAGATAAAAACTTCAAAGGTTTGGCACAAAAATGGAGTTTGTCTGCCAATTTCAAGTCATCTGCGTCAACGACAATGATAATTGAAGATATTAACCTAGAAATTTTTCCGACAAACGAGGATATTAACTGCTTAATCAACTTAGCAATAAAAATCCCAAAAGAAGGACTCCAAATCTTACCAGATAGTCAGGAAGAAGCACACTTTGATATTTCAGTTCAAAAACTTTCTCTTGAAGACCGTAGAGCTGCTACCCTGGAAATGTTCTTTATTCTTTTATGGCGTCGCGATAACCAAAGCTCATTGATAAACCGCACAGTACTTTCTGTTCCCCAGTGTCATGTTTTAAGTAGCGAGCCACGCGTCCTTGCAGCCGTCTCCTCTTCTTCGGTATCTCCGATTATATGTCTTGATTTAGTTATCGAAAATCCATCCAGCCATTTTCTCTCCTTTGGAATGAATATCGAGCCTTGTGAAAAAGTGGCATTTTCAGGAAATAAACAGAGAACGTTACAACTGCTTCCTCTGAGCCGTAAAAAAGTACAATTTCGATTACTACCTAGTATGAGAAGTGAATGGATTGGGCCTATTCGATGTACTATCCGGGATCGATACTTTCAAAAAGTGTTGAAAGTCTCGCCTAATCGGAAATTGAGGAGTGATAAGGACGGAATTATGATTCGGGTACCAACAGAACGACTTTAATGTAAGTAAAGTGAAATGATGAACAAATACGATGATATTTGATTGAGTTCAGAATTGGCATTTACTCAAATGGAAGGCCATTTCTGGTTATAGCCTAATGCTAACTCTACTTTTCAGACAACAGGTTTCGAAAATTTAGGGGGATGAATTATTGTGATGTTGAGAAAGATCAAGATATATCCTTGTTTATTGTTCTAAATGGTTTCCCATACAAAAGTCCTGGAGGAATGATGTGCTTAATAGCAAAAGGTCGTTCATTGAAAAGCCCATCGTCCAGTCGCAAGCACACACCCAGGCTTTATGCCGAGAGCGTCTATTTATACTTCTATGAAAGTCGTCGGCTTTTATCCTCGTTCATTAGTGAACTGAAATGTGTCTCCGGAAAGGAGGATGAACTGTAATAGATCATCTTTACGACTTGATGGTGCAGGTGTCACGATTTTGGTTGGGGCTGGAACTACTTTCATTGGTCTCCCTAATCCCCCTCCATGTACTCATGGGTTCGCAACTGTGACTGTCATGAACCCTTGTTCATCCACCCATTTCGAGATACTTGTCGGCCTCTGGATCACACTTACTGAGATATCCTGATTAATACCTGCTGTTCTCTCTAAAGACTCGATTCGAGCTGATTCCATATTTACCTTGTCGAACTTGTAAGTCTTTTGTCATGGTTTCAGTACAAATTGCACAGATAATCTTGTAGATACTGTACATTAATTACAATTTCCAATGAGACCCAGCAACTAGAGACTACGTATATATATAACTTCAGATACTACACTTCGAAGAGTTTCCATCCATAACCGGAATGATATGGACTCTTCGACGGCTCCCTAGAAGATTCATGATACACCTGTCATCCTTATGAACCTTCAGTATGCTTCCAGAGGGTACATTGGGAATCTTCTAGGCTACGTGTATTTCAAGAACCTCACCGAAAATTTCTTTAATATCATCGGCTGTGCTAGCCAGCGTAGGCTACAGGAATCCTTTGGCTTGACAGCCGAAACACCTTGTGTACCAATTTTTGTCTTGGTCAGTGCTTCCTAACACACTTGAAGTTGGAAACTTTCCTTTTGAAATCCCAGTATTGGTAGCTGTCAGAAAATACTTCTGCGGTTATGATTACACAACAATGTAGTTGTATTGAGAACATGCATTTCAGCAAATATGTCTCATCTATCTCTTCCCTGCGTCGGAGATGTAATCTATATGTAACAGAATAAAGATGTTACTGGATAACGATCGCTCTATCCCCAAATAAGAAAGAATCTCTTATTCTCACGTGATAAGCACACATAAGTAGTCAGACAGTGTGAGTGAACGATTATTGTCGTGTTGAGTCTATGACTATGAATGAACACATTGTTAAAGTTATGAGCTTGAGCGAAGATGGAGGTTGTAGCGGAATCAGTGTCGGCGGCTAGACCGATGCAGTAAGTCTTGTATGAGGTTGTGAGAGGAAGATCCAAGTGGAAACAATTGTATTTAGATGTATGGTTCAGAGTAAAAACCGAGATGATAAGAGTGAGATTGCGTGTTCGCATTTCTTATCAACTGTGGTTTTTGACCAGTATTTATCAATCTCCATGGACCGTAAGTTATGATCCCTGTAGATGTATATCTATGTACATACACATATATGGGCCAGGAATGTAAAGCTAAATACATGTGTATCGGTAATAGATACGAGAAAACTATAACCTGCGTTGAAGACATAGTCATCCGCTGGAATTCTAGTGTGAAATAAACGCTAATGCGCATTAAACTTTCGGTGAAGGATGTATTGATAACAGTGATATAGAATGGGGAATTTGATGGTCAAATTAGCCGGACTTAAAAATAAGTTATTCTTGGCATTCCAAGACATATCACATTTCAACACACATATGTCCTTTTTGGCTACGGGAGTAATCAGATAGTGGCTTCATTCACACTGTCTACACTCCACCGCCTTTTCGAATAACACTTGACTGCGGTCCCACTCATTGCAGGTATAACACTGATTGACTTGAGCCTCAGGCTCCTATAAAAAGCTGGGTTATATATTGTTAGAATCTAGAATAATTGGGACTATAAAGTAGGCCACGTTATGGATACACACATGAATACAAATTCTGTACTTAGTTTCACTTCGGTAGTTACTTGAATCAATGCGCTCTACAACCTCAATGACTGAGGGGTCATTATTTCCTTAATATATGTATGTATATATATATAATTCATCATCCTGATTTGGCGCCTTGAGGCCCATGCAGGTTTTTATCGGAAGATGTATACTTTAAGTAGGATGACTCAATTTGAAGCCTGGAACATTCACACTTATATTTCATTTGAGGAACCACTCGAGGTTAACCCTTACGGCGTACAAGCTCTTCCATGCATACCCACCACAGGGAAAAGTGTGTAGAACCTATGATTATCCGAGTGTGCTTTCATCATCCCACAAACCTAATATCACCGCAAGAGAGAGTGGTGCATGGGTTCTAACGGATTCGAATCAGCTTTCTCCTTTCTCGAATGGGGTAGGTGTTCAAGCTACCCAGTATCTACTTGGGAGAACGACCCGGATGGTGTGCCACTGCTCCATACAACCCTTCTTGGTTTAATAATTGTACAAACTATCAGGGGATACCTGTGCAGTAGCTTAATTATCCCCTTAGAGTCTGGTCACTATTAAATAAAATAGAAAAATTATTCAATTATCCTGTTATGGCGCCTTACGTCCCATGCAAGTTTATCGGAAGATGTTGAAATTATGGAGTATAGTGAGACCTCTGTTAAACTGATCATGGTTAAGCCGATATTGCCGTTTATACGATATATTTTCCGGAACGGACTTCGTTCACACACATTTACCGATTACACGATTTTCGTTCTTCAACCTCTGAATATCTTCTGAACCAGGGTTTTTTTGTTAGATTGGTGCTAATAATGCCGCCAAAAAAGAGAATTTCTGTACAGCAACGACGTGCTCTGCGACGATGGGCGCACCGCGAGGTCCAAGAACCAACACAAAAACAGTGCATTGAGTAGTTATTCGCTGAGTACGGCCATCGATTAAGCCAGTCAACAGTCTCCGAGTCCTTGAGCAATACTTTTGCGAAGCTCGACGAAGCTACAAGTACTACTGCGCTACGACAGCGAGCTGGAAACTGGCCTGACCTTGAGAGTATTAAAGCGATTAAAGACGGCAATTGGGAGTATAAAAGAGGCATCAATCGTAAAAAGTAGCCTAGATAGCTGCATTAAATAATTATATCCTTTTCAGCGATATCCTCTATTTGACGATATTTTTCACGGCCTCGATTACATCGTCTTAACAGGGGTCTTACTGTACAGAGATAAGTTAGATGATGGTAAATGGCAGTTTTTCATGAAGGGTTTGGTTGTTGAGCTTTCTGTTTTTCCTGTGTCGGGATACACTTTGTCGATCCTACCGGGCTCGATAGTGAGTTGTCCCGACTGACTGGTTTTTGGCGAAGGAATGAGTGAGTGAGTGTTTATTGTCCTAATGAGTCTATAACTATGTAACGACATGAAGGTCCTTTCTACCTACAGGCCAGGAGTATCTATGCTTCAGGTAGTGTATTCCCTCTTTTGCCTCCTTCACGACTTCTTTCCAGCAGTAATACCCCCACAGGTCTTATTCGAGTATACACCAGGAGGAGCCGTTATTCCGTCATCATCTCCCCTCCCCAGCCAACAAAACAATGGCCATTTGCGGGTGTGTAGCTGCCGGGAAAAGTCTCAAAAACCACTGGGTGCGGGGCTCTCCTATGACGAAGAGGCCGGTCAGCCTTGCGCAGCAGACCTGTATATACCAGAGAGTGTCTCTCAACCTTCCTAGCTTTCTCCTTTCTCTTTCCCTGATTCATGCCGCAGGACAAATGGTAGGTCGTGAAAGGATGTCAGAAAAGGCTTTTTCAAGATTGACTACCGTGAAGGAGCCTAGCCTAGCATCCAAAAGTCGTTACGGACGTGGAGTTATCGGGTAACTCATGTATTTCAGATGCCCTCCTGGCTAGTATGCTCGGAAGTTAAGATTAGAAAGGACTATACCATAGATGCGTCAAAATCTGCTTTTCTTGAGGGCGGAAGGGTCTTTTACTTTGCTTTCGTGAGCTTTTTGTTTGCCCGCCTGTGGATAGCACATGTTGTAATATAACGAAGGTTTCTCTGACTACCGTCGTAGCGTTTGGTGGCGCATTATCTTTCCTTATTCCCAGCAGCATTATTGATGTCTTGATCGTCTCATGAGTCATCAGAAGCGTATCTTTGACAGAGGGGGGGATAACTCAGCTCAAGGTTGAAAAGGTGTGAGTCAATCTCGGCTCTGCAGACACTTTAGTGAGAGCTGGAGGTTCGTAGGGGACACCACTGATAGGTGTTGAGAATAGTCCCCATAGAACTGTAATAGATTCTCTGTGGATAGACATAACAAGTAATTATCATCAATAGTTGAATCAACCTCCACACAATTGAGACTCATAAAAGTGCCAGAATTTCATACAGCCCTCAATTGTATTTTCGCAATCGCATCTGTAACGAGCCACCACTGCATTCAAGAATACACCCTCTAACTGTGATAAGCTACACCGCGCGGTCTAGCAAACAGTTACAATGCTCTAGGGTTCATACTCCACAAAAAACATGAATTATTTTGAGGCAAACAAGCCCTGATGCGAGTCACGGATTTAAATGATTTGAAAAAAAATGAGTCCCGGCTTGCTCAGACTAGCTTATCCTGAAAAGTCTACTTATCCTCCACCCATCCACGGCACCAACCCCCTATTATCATCCTCCTCAGCTAATATTCTCTGGATAACCCTCAGCTATTCCGTCGTTTCTCAATGTTAGAGCGACGGCTACTGCAGGTTTTCTTTGGGACAAACCAACAAATAAATTATGTTAATTTTAAATGTGCCGACTATCTCAATCCCAGGACTGCTATATAAAGGACCTCTACACAGAAAATGTATTCCACTTCAGCTCTG